GCCCGTCCGCGCATCATTGGCAACATCTACGACATTCATCGCGCCATCTACACGTGTTCTCGACGCCCTCCGCGTGACCAATGGCACCTCGGCGCCCACCCCGGTTCTCTCCTTCGTAAGGCACTCAGCGCATCAGGCCCAAGGACGAGCCAACGGAGCAAAAGATGGACCTGGTAAACGTTTAGGAGCAAAGAAGAGCGGAGGTATGTCCACAGTTCGAAGAAGCAATTAAGAGCCTGGCTAACGGCATTGTAGGAGAGTATGTCATCCCAGGAAACATCATCTTCCGACAACGAGGGACGGCCTGGTTTCCCGGCGAGAACTGCAAATTCGGCCGCGACCACTGCATCTTCGCTACAGAGTCTGGTTACGTGCGATACTACCGTGACCCGAAGAAACACCCCAAGAGGCAATACATTGGTGTCGCCCTCGAGAAAGACCACACCCTTCCATACCCACCAAACGCCGCGAGACGGAGACGCTTAAATATGCTCGCCGTTCCTATCACTACATCAACGAATCCTTCTGCGGACGCAGTTGTCATAACCGATTTACAAGTTGGCGACGGCACAGGCAGTCCAAGCAGCGTCCGCGATACCCCGCGCGAAGCGACACGGAAGGGATTGAGCTTGACCGCTGGCAAGGGATACGCGTACCGTGAGGCAAATTGGCAGATTGGACGTGCGGCCGAGAAGGCGGGTGTGCAGGTTAAGGAGTTTGTGCCGGGTGACCGATGGACGGCCTGGAGGAAGAGGAGCACAAGGATCCAAGCGAACATAGAGAGGAAGAGGCTCCGGAATGCTGGCAAGAAGGCTAGCAAACCGAAAGCGAGAAAGGCAAGGGCCTAATCAACGAGACGACATACTGCGGGTTGTATGAATACATGTGTAAACTGAAGATATACAGCCTTTGACTGGCGATTTACGAGCACAAGAAGCGCGTATGTGAACAAACGCTGAAAAGTGGAGAATTTGACATGACTATAATCTGGCAGAGTCCTTCCATACCAAGCCCCCTTGGTCCTCGACATAATGCCTACCCTTAGTCCATCCCATCCATGTGGCCAATGTATCTTCGCCCCCACTGCCAGGCTTCAAGCCCTTCTCGCTCCATCCACTGCCATCCATTCCTATACCCTGGCCCTCTGCTGCCGACCTCCCATCATGACCATCGTGTATCGCATATCCAGGTGAGGACTTGAGGGTTACAGCAGGCCGTTGATCGAAGCCCTGGGTCTCGAGTTCACCCTGTATCAGCACGGGCGTGCAGCATGCATCTGTGCCGTCGAAGATGGCCTCCCATTCCTCGCGCGTTTTCTTCTTGAACTCGGCGGCGAAGAAGTCCTTCAACTTTGGCCAGTCCGCTCTGTCGTCCCTATTACCAGGTAGATCCGACGGCTCCAGGCCCATGCCCTTGAGTAAAGCGGCGTAGAACTGGGGTTCAATAGCGCCCACTGCCATATACTTTCCATCCTTTGTCTCATATGTATCGTAGAATGGCGCTCCACCATCTAGCATATTCGTGCCCCTTTCCCTCTTCCAGACCTCTGTCTTCAATCCCAACCTTGGCATAGTCGCCAATATCGCACTCCCGTCAACCATGTTTGCCTCGACAACCTGTCCATAGCCGCTTCTTTCTCTCGCCAGCAGCGCAAGCAATATACCAATGAAGCACATTGCGCCGCCTCCCGCGAAATCTCCCACGACATTGCCCGGCGCATACGGTTTTTCCCCTTTCCTGCCAAACATGCTCAACACGCCGGATACAGCAATGTAGTTGATATCGTGCCCGGCCATTTGACTGTATTTGCCATCCCGACGGAAGCCCGTCATGCGAGCTACGATCAGTCGCTTGTTCAACTTCAACAGCACCTGTTCAGGGTCGAGACCGGCTTTCTCGAGGACGCCAGGTCGGAAGGGATCGATTACCACGTCGACTTGAGGGATGATCTTCTTGATAAGGGCGAGCCCCGCGGGCGATTTGAGGTTCACGCATATCGAGGTTTTGCGCCGCGTTAATTGATCGGAGGATGGGGCTGAGGGTGCGCGGTCGAGGCGGAGGACTGTGGCGCCGTAGTCTGCGAGGAGCATGCCCGCGAAGGGGCCTGAAGACTGTTAGATAGAGCCTAGGCATTGTTTTTTGAAGAGAGTCTGAGGTTACCTGGGGCCAGTCCTGCAAACTCGAGGACGCGTACGTCCGCGAGTGGAGGTGGTTGGTTTGCTGACGGCATGACGAGGTAGCTGGAGGTAGTATATTACTTGGGACGATTGAAAGGATGCGCGTGAAGAGAGAAAAACGCGAGCTTAGTAGTAAACATGCTCGACGTCGACATTGTTGGCCGTCGCGCCGGCTAAGGACTCCCGCGGGGAAGCATGCTCTGGAAGCCGAGGTGCGGATGTGGAGAGCTTGAAAGCTGGGGTAGTAGCTTCATCGTTCGCGTTTGGTCTGTTTGTCTCCACGTGCGACCATCACGACGAGTCGATATATCCCTAGCCCTAAATATCTCAGAACGAGTCTGATGAGTTATGACATGTCATCCCATAATATATATGGCGCGCTTCGCCCTGCTCTTCCAAGGTGCTATGACTGCTAGCATTAGGCACCAGCGCGCGTATGCCTACGTGAGCGGCTCTTCAAGGATCAATAACTCTGCAGAAGTCGCGGAGCTGTTCTTTCAAACGCTGGACGAGCGTGGCTTCCTTCCAAGATTCACCCGTGCTCGAACACATCATGCCTCCCCAGTTGAGAGCGCGAACGTCTCGCGTCAAACCTCAATCTTACGCTCTTTCTTCCAATTCCTCTTCCAGTCAAAGTCACCTCCTCATGTCTGAATCAACCGCGCAATCGACAAGCAATGCGCCTTCAATCTACACCATCAACCTTTCACTACCACCGCGCGAACGCTATGTGTTGGTCGCCACCGAATACGCCCATGTTCTGCGCCAGATGCCGTGTCTCTACGATGAAGCAGTTCAGCACTTGAAGTTGCCTACTGGGATTTTTCATCTCTTAGGCCGTCTGTTCTTGCGTCGTCTTCACAGCGACGAACAGACTGAGGAACTCAGGGGCATTAGCGAAGCATCTGGCGTGCCTATGTACTTACTCGTCGCTTACAATGTCTTCCTGGACCTTCTCATGGGCTGCACGAGTGGCGGAGTCATGGTAAAAGATCCCGAAGCCGAGACAACGATGATGCATTTCCGAACGCTAGATTGGTCCATGCCTCTCCTGAGACAAGCAATTGTGCAATTCGACTTCATCGAGGGCGTGGGCGGCGGAGTGATAGCGAGTACAATTGGCTACGTTGGTTTCGTGGGTGCACTTACAGGTGTAAGGAAGGGATTGAGTGTCTCACTCAACTTTCGACCCTATCACAACGCCCGGGGAATTTCAGGACCCAACATCAAATATTACTGGAACACTCTCATGGTGCTTCTGGGGAAGAGACCGAGCATCTCCACCCTCATACGCGATTGCCTTCTACCTAGGTCGAGCGCACCTCGCAGACGGCACAGGCTCTCTAAGAAATCTTCACAAGAACGAAGAGATTCGTCATCCGCACTAATGCCGCCATATAATGCATCTGACGCACCCAACAACATCGTAACTATGCAGACATCAGTGGCGTATTTGATATTCTGTACCAGTGCAGAGACCATCATCCTGGAGAAAGACTTCCACAGCGCAAGGATTTTACGCTCATCAACCTTTATCAGCACCACTAATCACGACGTATCGTTGGAGTCTACAGCCAATCCGCACGCCAACCAGAACCAGGCCGTCCATACTCAGGGCCGGAATCACAGCTTCCTCAATGCCGGTATGCAAGAAGTACTCGAAGAAAGCATCATGCGAAAACAGTGTCTAGAGCGAAAATGGCGAGAATGGACCCAGGAGCAAGGCCGTAAAGCGAAGCGAGGACAAGATGCAGCAGTAGGCGTGAGTCCAGAGAAACTAATTAAATGGTTGAAACAGTACCCGGTGTGTAATGAGGTTACACACTTTGTCTGTGTCATGGATCCAGCAGAAGGGATGTTCAGATGGGTGCGGGCTTTTGAGGAGGGCGAGATTCCGTTTCAGGGTTGATATCAGGCTTGTTGGCTGTTCAGGTCACTTGTAAATAATAGCACTTCTCGATCAAGAAGATGGGCTGTTCGCGTCTATCGTGTTGCTAGGGGTGCAGGCCTCGGCTCACGATGGATGCGGGAGCTAATACTAATGCGGTTTGCCACCGTTTACCTTCCCGTTCCTGATGGTTCTGCAGTTCTCTCAAACTTCAGACGCCGCCCACTTCCGCGACCTATTGAGTCATTAGTCGATTATGCCAAACTTCAGGTGGTTCTATTGAATGACCATTACGGTGATAGAGCACCGAAGATGCGACGCACGTCTAGATGGCAACGCACAAGAGATCCAGGACCGGCTGTTGGACTTGTCGGGGGGCTGGATATAAGTGTGACGAGGTGAAGCCTTTTTGTGGGCGTTGCACAAGACTAAACATCATCTGCAAAGGCTATGGAGTCAAGCTGAAATGGCAGGACGACGCCGCTAATACGTTGGCAAAGCCACCACGGAAGAGTCGGAAGAAGAAGGCTATCGACGATGACCAAGCACTCAGCCCAGCGTCTACTATTAGCTTCGAATCCATACAATCGGCAGTTACGAGTCCAGATGTACTGTTCTCATCGCCTGACTCGGCGAAAAGTATGCCTGCTTTACCCTTCAACAGCCCTGTCCTGTCCTATGGGATATCTCCAACCGATCGATGGCTCCTTAGTTATTGGGGAGAACAACTCTCAAAGCTGTTGTCAGTTTCACCTCAAAATGGCATCGCAACACCATTCCAACGACATTTGACGGCCATGGCCTACGAATCGCCAGCACTTAGATCGACAGTCCTCTCAATGGCTGCAAATCATCTCGCATTTGCATCAAACGATGCTTCACTTCACCTACAAGGCTACCGTCATCAACGAGACGCAATTCAAGAGCTCCAAAGGATGATTCAAGATCCAGTGAAGATGGATACTGAGCCAGCGCTGGCCACTGTCATGATGATGCAGGTTTCGGCGCGATTGTTTGGCGATGAGGATGAAGCCAACGTCGCGAACCATCTGACTGGCGCCAAAGCCATGATAACAGGGCGTAGTGGGGGTAACTGGCTTGTCTCATCGAGTGCTCGCTTCCTCCTGAGCCTGTTTGCATACCACGACATTCTGTCTTCCGTGTCAAGAGGCTCGCAGCCATTATTGGATCATGAAATGGACTTTGTCGCCATCGAAGGGGAGAAAGAGCTAGAAAGTATCGCAAAAGTCCTAGTGGTCGTTGCAAAGATCAGTCAGCTGCAACACGCTATCAAGACGAGAAGAGCGCTATCACCAACAAGCCCTGCTTTGTCGGAAGATGAAAATACCACTGGCCAACATATCCAGCAAATTCTATTAGCCATGGAATTCGGTGCATGTAAGAGGGGGAACAGCGAAGAGCGCATAGACATTAGCTCGACAGCTGAAGCTTATCGCCACGCCGCCTTCATTTACCTCTACCGAACCTGGCTTGATATAGGTGCTCCCAATCCGATAAGCATGGAGCATATCAATCAGTGTCTATCACAGCTACAACAAGTCGACATTCGTTCGCCTTTAACATCAGCGCATATGTGGCCGCTGTTCACCGCGGGCTGCGAAGCGATCGACAGCACACAACGACAATTCGTCCGTGATCGATTTGAAAAGCTGTATGCTGTAAAGCATTTCCCCAGCTTGAAACGCGTCATGCGCGATATCGAACATGTTTGGGCAGCCAAGGATATGGAGCAGCAGATGAAAGGCCAGGATGGAATGGCCAAGGTTGACTGCATCCAAGTCATCCTAAAAAGGAGGGGGCGGGAGGTCGATCTTGCGTGAGATTTTGCCTAACGGACGTAGCTTGCTTTGCGCACAGACAGGTGGTTCTTACACGTGAGGCAACACTCGGATGGAGCGAGGCTCCGTTTGCGCCGGATGATATAAAAAATGGGATTCGGTGGCCTATGCTGCGTCTATTATACCTTCGACCAGCCAGACTACACTCAACCAGCCACAATGAATACCCCAACTTCCGTCTCTCACTTAGAGTCTCTACCCGCAGAGCTCTTCAACCGCGTTTTGAGCTATGTGTTTAATCCTTACGATTGTGAGATCGACGAGTCCGACACCGCGTTCGGCGGTTACCGCTTCGAAACTTCCCTTCTACGCATCAGCAAGAGCATCCATGAGCTCGCGAAGAGCTATGTGCATCACATGCTGTCTTGGATACGTTTCGACATCAACTGGGGCGCTTTCGCAATTCAGCCACACTGGCTTGGTGTAAAATACATCAATATTCGTCATGTCAAAGCCGCCAAAACACTCCCGGACGAATATCTGAACCTGAGTCTACGGTCCGTACCTCAGGAAGCTCCAGCTGGGCGTTTGCACATCAAGATAGAGTTTCCACATGCCAGCGATAAAACCCAAGAGGATGTTACACGCATGGTCAAGAGTGATGCAAACATCTCTATGTCCCTGCTAGTACTTGAGAAAGACCTACCTGGTTTCATGCAGGTACTTCGCATGAACGACCTAGCCTATTGTCACCGCAAATTCCCAGGGACTACAATCTCCAATGGTGTACGTGCACGTCCTGGTGTTCACGGCATGAAATCTGAGATCGTTATCGCACATGGCCAACAGCTCGAGCGCTATCAACATCTAATCTTAGAGTTTCACGTCATGTGGAATGTACTCCACAAGACTGCCGTTACTGGACACGCAGATAGCCATCTTGCTAAGAAGTCTGCGGACTTTATACAGGGGCAGCATGAACATCAAGCGCGAGAGTCGGTCGGTTTCTCGAAGGCAGACATGAACGCTAAGTTGCCTATCGAGCTCATGGGAGAAGGGATATCATCTCTCCTTTGGCTCAAACACCGGGGCGACGAGTATCTCACAAAAGGTTTATACGCAAATGCTTACATGTGCTACTCTAGCGCATGCACTCTTGAGAAATACTGGCTAAAAATGGCTCCACCGCCTGCTAATTTCACCGTTTGGTCACTTGCCGGCTTCCTCTATGTCACCTTTGGAGTGACGCTCATGTTCAATATGGCGATCGCCAAGATGAAAGGGCGCTTGGACTTGGTTCTTAAACATCCTCGTGGCACATCAATGTTTGGATACTACGGTATGCTCGCTATTCTCAGCGGTGGCGGTGGACTTCTTGATGATCAACGCTATATGGAGCTGAGCATGGTAGCCATGATCTACGAAATGTTGACTGAGGACCTCAACCAGGGTGATCGATTGTTCGATCTCGTTGGCAAAACTTGGGAGGATGACGACACAATCGATGATCTATCGCCAGATCTAGGTCTTCTGTACGACACTGTCAAGGAACTCGACGATGCAGAACCCACACCCGCTTCTGGCCCTAAGAGTCCTGATGGACTGAAGGCAGCAGTAGCAAGTGGCTTCGCAAATGTCGCGCCGCTGAAGTGGGCGGTCTCAGTTGACAACTTCCCGAATCCATTGCGAGAAGTCGTCCAGTTCTTGCCACGGGTTCAGCTCTTGCCGGACGGTGCTGTGGAGAACCCTAGTGGATATAGCTTCCAGATCCCGGTGTACTGCCAGCCAACTGATGAGCAGCGCATCAATGGAGAGGACCACCCGAGGTATCTCGTGTAAGGAATGCTCAAGGACATTCGCGGTATTCTAGGTGAAAGCCTTGTGTACAAGGTACATGTCGCTGTTGATATGACGTACAGGCAGGAGGCTTGAGCGTTCCAACCTAAAGTTATCCAACAAAGTTTATTGAGGTCTTCTGTGTCTAAAAGGTTGTGATTTCTCATCGTGCACTTTGGTTCGAAGCTGCCAAGGTAAGCCCTAGTCGCAGAACCACAAGAGATCATACCTAGGTATCTCGTGAATCGCCCACATGCGCGACGGCGGCGATGGCAGAATATACGCTTTCATCACTTGGAAGCTGACGAGATGCATCGACATAATAGCAGACTACACGTCAAAGATGTGCACGCCGGTAATAGCACGCGCCCGTGAGGCGCAATATTACGACGAGCGCGACAATTCGGTGGACTATCCTGCAGATGGCCATATAACTATAATCCGCAAGCTCGAACAAGCATTGCAAGCTCTCGATCATTCGAGGTCCTATCTGCTCAAAAATCACGATAATTATGGGTTGTGTATGTACCGCTCCTATGACACCGCCTGCGCAACCGAAAAAATGCGCAGCCAGCTCTAATGGATCGCTTGGTTCCTTCTCCGCAGCGCTATATCGCAATCACCCAATAGGAAATCTCGGGTCGCATCGATACAAGACGTAAAGATGCGGGTGAGATGGGTGTTGAACTGTCTGATGGTGCGTGAAGAAACAGAAGGGAGGCCGGGCAAATTTTCGATGTTATCGAGGATCTGCTTGGCGCGCTAGTCCAGGCATAGACTGGCGCCGACTGTCTTCCCGAGGGGTCTCCACTTAGGGCCCCTTCCCAGCCACTTTCAGACATATGCAGAAAGATCAGGTCCATGGTGAGCTTTGTGGCTTACCCCGCGATTGTCATCCTCGGCGATGGGGAGAAGAACGGCTGAGCTTCACACATCAAACGCCTGTCCGCCGACATGGACACGCAATCTACCACCGCAAGGACTGTGGCCAGCAGGGACGCGAGCATTGAATACATCAGCGACAACATCTTTCAATTGACACTCTCCCCAGAGAACAAAGCGGAAGTGTTTGAGCCTGGCCTTTCCAAGCTCGACCAAGGTCAAGAGGAGGCCAGCCTCATCCTTCGAAATTTGACCTCATGGTGTCCAGATGTCGCTGCTCAGTTTGCCCAACGCTCAACTACCACGATCCTGAAGACACCGTTCCGTCTGGTCTTTCCTTCAGACGCTCGGGGGGCTTTCGACAAAGACCTGTATCCACGACAGTATTTCGCGATCTCCTATTGCTGGCATTCAGGCGACTATCCGAACCCGAATTATGAACCGCATGATCGTTGGCCTTTCAGCAAGCCCTTTGTAGATGCCATTCTGGGTGAGAAAGAAAACCCTCGCATAGGACTTTGGATTGATCAGCTATGCATTGACCAAGAAGACACTCTCGACAAGCAGATGTCTGTTGCCGCCATGGATGTGATTTATCGATCATGCATGCGTCTGCTGGTTCTGTTACAAGACGTGAAACTTACTGAGGCGGAGACGTACCTCGTGGAGAACTTCGATATATCCAAAATACAGTGGCACAAGGCATGGCTACCGGAGCCGGAGGTTAGACCACTCTATTTGTCTTTCTACAAGAAGATCAACGCAGCGAGATGGGTACGTGAAGCTCCAAGAAAAAGGAGATCCTGGGGCACACACTGACTTGCTCGTTCTTACCTTGTAGTGGGATCGTGCCTGGTGTTTCCATGAATTCAACGTCAACGAACCATGGAGCGACAAAAGGCAGCGATACAGGAATCACAACGCGACGTTCTTCATGAATGGACCGGGTGATTCCATAGTCAAGATGAAATGGGTGAATCTCCATGTCATCATGTCTACAGCGATAGACTTGCCGTCTCATGACAACGATATCAACCTAAACGCTTTCAAAGGCCGAGAAATATTCACGGGCTTTGCTAACCAAGGCGGACCTCCTACAGCGACCATGAAATCGAGTATTATGGCCTCGCATAACAGTGTAGCTCGAAAAGGCTGTCAGAATCTTGGAGACCGCATCAGCATCATGATAAACATCAGTGGGCGTGCCCTCGCATACTTCGGCGAAGCCTTGAACAACAAAGACGAGGTGCTATATTTCAGCGCACTTCTCGCTCTAGCGGCAGGAGAGACATACCCACTCAGTATGACGGACCCTACATCGATCAAACTCATGGGCAATAAGACGTGGCTTTCGCGAAGCCTCGGTACTGGCGATGCTATAATTCCAAAATTCCCCCTTGGAAGTGTGCAGGGCATCCGCCAGGTTTCGACCGAAGTCATCAAAATCGACATGATTTTTCTTCAAAGGCTCGGTATACCAACAGATCACAGCTTCGAGCTGGACGCTGTTGGCCAAGTTTTCCCTGGCACAATACCAACTACAGAGCCCGCAAAGTATGCCGCTGATGCAAGCAAATCGCATTTACCTGCCGCCCAGACGGACAGCGAATGCGACGAGCACCGACGAAGGTTCATCGCCACTTGTATCAGCAATGGTATTCAGTTTACTGCCAATCTATGGGAGCAGCTAAAACGTGATGTTGTACACCCCAACTATAACCAAGGCATTTTCCGAGATCTGCAGCCAAACACTGCCCTGAGTATACCAGCACAAAGGTTTTTGGACCAACTACAACGAGATGCAACTCCAGAAACGTTGGAAAGTACTGTATTTGATGTGGATGACGCCAACATCTTCTTGACCTGGGTAACCGATCCTCGTTCAATGTATTACATCGGCTCTCTTTCATTCCGCTTGCAATGCACCATGGATGGGCGTCAGGCTCTCATGACTATCACGAGCATTAAGGAAGACTGGAAAGATGCCAAGCTTGAGGAGCTTCAAGCTGCAATCCCTACTGATTTGCTTAACGCGAGTTGCATGACGTCGAGGGTTTGGATTCTGCAACCATTGGAGATCGATGAAGGCGTTGTGTTGAGATGGAAGATTGTGGCAAAAGCGCTGCTGCTCGGTGAGCCGAATTTGATGGAGGAGTTGAGACTGCATGGTAATCAAGACGATGCGGTGGTAGCGTTGAAGGCGGACACATGCGTGGGTGGTTAGCATGTTATGGGCCTATGTACCGAGGTTGGTGCGTAGCGCAGGACACCGGACTTGCTGTTGCCAACCTTAAAAGTATTGCGAGCTCCATTGAGACCATCAATATACTCTCAGTGCCATCTTTACGGGCAGCTTACTTCGCTCCGGCGCACCACATGCTACATTCTTATTCAATGACTTGCTGTTGTTATTGGTCATGCTGTATCATGGCGGACGGACGAGCACAGCTGCACGGCCTGTGCTTATTCACGAGCCTGACAGGTAACCTACATTACTAATTCCCCCGGAAGCGCATCAATCGTCCATCCGAATTGTAACGTACACTATCACCCTACTCGACAATGAAGTTTGCTTCCACGGAGTTCGCCTTCGTGTCGCCTGCTTTTGAGTGGCTTGTTCGCTTGCTGCAGCCTTGGGAATGACGCCCCTCTTGTGCGATTGCCCTGCATGTTCACGCTCTCGGCATCTCCTTCAGCTCCTCTGCCACTCCGCCCCAGTCTCGCTATCGATATGACGCCGAAGCCCCAATGTCGATGACATAAGTTTGTCGCCGCGCTCACTTATGCCTTGGGTATATATCAAGATATCGAGCTCTCTGTGAGGGCCACAATCACGGCCCGCAATCATCGGCATGGATCGCTCCACGAAACCAAGCTTCAACTTTGTGAATCTCACACACCCCGACGATCTCAAAAATGAAGAAACGCAACTGCGCATTCGACGTCTAGCCATGACTGAGGTCGGTAAAGCGAGAAGAAAACCCAAAACGAAGAGGGCGCGCAATGAAATCGTCCTTGAGTTTCGCAATCCGTCTGAGAGTCGCATCGATATCGACCGGTTCGGTGGCGGTCAGCTTGATCCCTTCAACGCCTACCCCATTGAACTTGATGACTCTGATCGAGCCCTATTAGCGAACAGTAGGTGCATCCATTCGTTTTGGTCCGACTCTTTCCTGACTTGGCGTAGTCTTTACTACCGAAGACAGCAATCATCCTAGCCAGCTCCGTGGCTCCTGGTACCCCGTTGGACTCAGCGATGCGGCAGCTTTTCACAACATGCTTTCCAACTCACAAAACTTCTTGTTCCAGAGGCGCAACGGATATTACCCTTCACAGGATGATGCCATAGCGTTGAAATACCACAACAAGGCGCTTCGCCACACCACCCAGATGATGAACGATCCGGCGAAGCGCACGAGTGATGAAGCTATAGGTGCTGTGGTTTCTTTCATGATCCACTTTGTAAGTCGCCCGTGTGAGGACAATGGCGGCAAGGCTGACAATCTTCAGGCTCTATTGGGGAACTTTACCAGCAGTGATTGGCAGAAACATAGTAACGCACTAGTCAGGATAGTGGGACTCAGGGGCGGATTTGACACCATTGAGAAAGAGCACTTACGAGTTACGATCAGCTGGTCAGCATCTCCGGGTGAACCCAAGGCTTGCTATCTGCTGACGCCTGAATAGGGCAGACCTCATAGGAAGCTTCTATCAAGACCACCCTCCTATTGTACCAATGCCACGACAATGGATAGTTGACTCGAAATCTCCATCGAACTCCCCACGGACGTGTAACGGCATATCGTTAGTCTGGAAACAGCAGCTACCAATGCAGCTCGACTTTGTCACCATCTTTGATGATGTAGTCCAATTGATCTCTCTCGATAGAGCTTTCAATGAGGAGCAGTTGATGCTTGCGATCACGAGCGGTAGCTGGCTGGAACCGGCAATATACCGCCTCTTGGCTATACGTCCTCTAAACCACGGCAACGCCAGAGAGAAAGTGGTCGAGGAGGTTTGTCGACTTGGAACTCTACTCTTCTTGGCACCAGTTTGGAGAAGTTTTGGTCAATCACCAGTATGGACGGCTGCTATATCTCGCAATCTCCTCCTTGTACTCACGAAGAACATGGTCGAATGGAACGATTTGAAGCCTTTACTCATCTGGGTGCTCTACGCCGCCGCAATCGAGACCAAGGATCTGGCAGAACGGAGCCAGTTCGTATTCATGCTTGGCATTCTGATGAGCGGTATGCAGCTCCAGGCGTGGAATGATATCATGTTGATTGTGAAAACCGTATTGTGGGTGGAAAAGGTTTTCGCAGGTACTGACGAATTGATTCGCGACGAGGTTATGCAGATCGTCAACCACAATCCTATGAATATGTTCCCGGTTGAAACTACGCCGCCGCCAAGTTTCTTGGACGACTTTGCGGCGGAAACAGGATAGAGCTAGACTAGATCTGGAATGAAGACACCCTTGTTGCTGCAGCTACCAATAGCAAGACTTAGCATTGCTGCTTGACCTCGCTCTCTTACAGTCGTTGTACGTACAGTAAATGCCTACCACGACTGTAGGGAGCATATATGAAGCTGCCGTGAACGATCAATACTTGTAGCTACCCTCTACCTAACTATAGATTTGCATCTAGGGTGCTCTTGTGATTTGCATACGGCTATCGTGGCAGAATGGTCACAGGAGGCCCACGGAAGAAATTGCAGCTGACCAGAGGCACACGCGCTATCATGCCATAGTCGAAAGTTTTGTCCTTTAGCCAGGGATTGCCTAAGTAAAACAATATGTATGTGCTGCATGACTCAAAGAATTACATCGTGCTGACAACTATCCGTACTCTTGCACAGTCTATGATCTAGGTGCCCTTCCGTTGTAGTCCATTCCCGGCTGTGCTGTATAATTTGCGAAGCAGTCATAATTGAAGTCGATTTCTGCACTGCGCTTTTGAAGGAGCTCGACAACGTGGTCGAAAGAGCAGAGACCGTTTGCATCAGCGGGACATCCTGGATGAGACTCATTGATCGGCACAACGGCATCATTGCTGGTTGGCCAGGTTAGCTGGGTATCGAGTTTCGAAGGAAACGAGTATACTTACACGATGAATCGGATCTGCTTTGTTGGTTGCATAGCAGGGCAAGAAAGAACCTGAGTGGTGAAGTGGGTGGCAAACGGCACGAGATTGCTAGCTACGAAGCTGTTCTGCCCTTCATTACCAAGAGGACTCAGCGGTGGGCCTTTGAACAAAGCCGTCAAGTTGAACGCAGTGAGTGTATCAAGGACGACAACTTCGTGCGTGGCATCGGCATAGATAGACTGGTCGAGCGGGAAGTACGTCGAGGAATTGTCAAAAGTCTCGTTCAGCGCGGAGTTGGCGCCAGGATACTGATGGGTGAAGCGTGCGATGAATTCGTCTAGGAAGCCTTTGCCTTGAGCAGCAGATACAGGAGATCCTGGGCCGTTGTTGTAGTAGAAGGACAGATCGAAGTAATACTCGTAGTTCAGGAAGTCTTGTTCGTTGAAGAGGTTGCAGAAGGCGGAGTAGCCGAGAGCGTGCGTCTCATACGAACACAGTTGAAGCATAGCGATGGCGTCGGTGGAAGTAAAGTTGATACCGCTAGCCTGCGACTGCAGACGAGCGAGAGTGGCGTTGAACGCGTTGTTCGCAAATTGAGCTGCTACACGGCTACCGATACTGCCTCGATTTGCAATGTTCGAGTTGTTGCAGATTTCGTAGGGTGCGCCTGAGTTGTTCACGCCTAGAGTCTCAACAAGCAACTCAATGTTGACCTCGTCCATGTACTCGGGTACACCAAAGAAACCGGCAGCGAAGTTTTCCGCAGTCTTCACCATCCGGTCCTGGGACTGTGTTCGGAAGACCGGAATGGTGCCCGCTTCAGTAAAGTTGTTCAAAAGATGGCCATACAATTGGCGGTACTCAATACCCAATAGGAAGTTCATGCTGCGACCCGACGGTGTCAGGAGCTCGGCGCCCAACTTGTATGTCCAATCGCTCAGGAAAGAAAGCTCTCCAGAGACTGCAAGACCAGTTTTTGTAGCGTTCGCAATCTTCTGAGCAAAGGTAGCGGGCGCAGCGCCACTGGTTGGGTATCTAGCGCCGTGACGGTAGAGCAGATGCATCTGGGTGATGTCGCAGCCATCCGGGATCAGAGGGCTGGCATCAGGAAGACCGTAGTCTGCGCTGCGAACCGAATACCATGGGCTCAAGTTACCCCAGTATTTGGTGATGTCAAAGTTTGGAGACTGCGAGCCACTGCCATGGGGCTGTGGCTTGATCAGAGGGTATGAAGATGCATCGCCATCGTTGTAAGGATACGACGGTGCTGTTTGGATGGCATTCGGCTCAGCGCCTGTGGGGGTCGCTGATGATTGTTGCGTTAGTTCAAAGACCAGAGCTCAAGGAAATATTGGTGACTTACGGCCAGGGAAGCCGACGACAGATTCTGGCGGGAAGAGTTCGGAGTTGACCTCGGCTATACAATCAACCCATCAGCATTCCGCTCTCTGCGCAGCTTCAATCAGACTTACTGCCAGCGGGAGGATACACATCTGCACTGCTTGCGCCTGCGTTTCCAGCTGCCGAAATTGTCGTGGTTGGTACAGCTCCAACCCTTGCAAGGAGGACAAGCAGTGCGCCTTTCCGGGCGGTGTTGGTCGTGATGCGCATCTTAACAATCGCAGAAGCCTAGGTCTCTCAAAAGGGATGTATACCAAGGAGAACAAGCTCCGACAAGCTTCGATGCCCAGCAATGTGGGTGTCCCAGAGACCCATCTTATAGTCCCCAAGCCCTGCAACGGTGGAGAAAGGCGTTAGAGTTGGGCATTTCGCTACCGAAGGGATACACGCGGCTCGTAGTAAGCGTCGCGCAACCAATGGGATGCGGAATTATGAACACATGCGTTGACCAATACTTCGGTAGCAGGGATGCCATCATTTCAATGACAGCACTGACGTTTGCGGTATGCAGATATCACGGTACCCAGGTACTCATGCGGTAAAGCATGCACCGGCGCGGGGGACCTTTGCAGCTGCTAAGTCCTGGTCCACGATGACGGCGTTGGACTATGCTGCTTTGGGTGCCGCACAGCGGCGTTCTCGTCCACCTTTGAGCATATCGAAAGGAGCACGTGGCTGGCGGGTTTATGGTGACGAAGGGCTCTTTGTAGCAAGATACGCGTTGAGGAAAAGTGTTCAGGCTACATTGATGCGGAAATGACCCGGTCAGAGTGAGTCAATCAGTTTCGTCATCACATACGAGTCCAGTTCGCTTCCTTTCGACGTTGACGAGAAAGGCTGATTTGTCATTACACGTCCACAGACTATTTATACATAAAATCGAGAAGACCCTCGTTCTCGCCAGACACAGCAGAACTCAAAACGCCAGTGCCAATGCCGATGTATCGATGAGACGCAGCAAATTAAACACCGCCCAGAACGACTGATATGAAGACCCCGGTACCCACCCATAACCACGATCTCATCAGTCATTACAATGTGATCCATGAACGCCGAAAAGAAAGAGAGGAAGGTAGCATCCAAGTCGCCATACAGCGCGTGAGCAACGCGACAACGCCTTACAAGCAAGAAAGGAACAAGCGCTACAAGCTCAAAAACTCAAACTCATGTCTGTTCTACAAGACGGAGAAAAGAGGAAAGCACTAAGCGATAGGCCATCGAGTACGCAATCCTTGTGTCCATTGCCCGTAGAGGATGTCAGCCAGTATCCCCTGCTGCTCCATACCAGGCTCGACGTAACCAGGCAGTTTCTTCTCGTCAAAGTAACCGTGGCCATCAGCCCCAGAGCCCTTCTCGCCGACCACGAAAGCGCTCTGGCGGCGTTTGTGAGACTTGAGGTGAGGATTGTTCTTGGCCATTACGAGCTTTGGTCCCTTCAGCGGAGAGCCCGAGTTGGCGATCGGTGTCCCATTTCGTGTCGGTGTCGAAATCGGAGTGTGGTCATACTCCTCTGAAGACTTGCTGACGGTCGGTGTAGCTGCACTCGTAGTGCTCGACCGAACACGTGTTGTGCCTGTACCATGCACAGTTGTACCACCTAAGCTAGTGTCGCTGGTTTTGGTGTTATGCTTCAATGGTGATTGCGCGGGCGAGACTTCTATGCCGAGAGCGTACGCAAGCTTTGTGTCGTTTTTGAGACGGTCCACCATAGCCTTCAATAGCATGAATTCGCCATGTGGGTCGATTTCGTCAAGATGCTGCCAGGCCTGCGCAACTCGTCCGATAGCGTCGCGTTGATGGGGCGATGCTGTGTCAGCATGTGCCTCTTGAAATACTGAGTCCAGGACCTTGCTGTACGCTCGGCGACCGTATAACGCGTCTTTGGTGATTGGCATGTGTCCATCGGGAGCAGGTGGCTCGTTCTCGTTGTTCATGTCCAGTGGATGGTTAGACGTGGGAGGTGATGGGCGGAAGGTGCGCGCTTCGGGGTTCGGCTGGAAAGACTGGTTGTTCTGAGCAGGCGGGTTGCTAGGGGGGTTCGAGCGAAGTGCTGCACGACGCTCGCCGGACGAGACGCGCTTGAAGTGTCGTACGGTCGATGGCGAGTTTCCAAATGTCAGATCGACACCCAACGGCGACTTGTTGAGATTGCTGACGCGACGGGCGGTGGGTGTATCGCCAGACGGAACGCGGAAAGCCGTGGCTTGGGAAGTTCTCCGAGAGGATGGACGTCGTCGTGCTGGGAGTGGTGAATCGGTTATGTCGCCCAAGGGTGCTGCGTTGAGGTCCATCCGTTGCATCATGGATTCGACTTCATCGTTGCCTGAAGAGGGTATACGGGCCAGTTTGCGACGCTGTTTCAACGTCTGGCGTGCTTGAACGGTCCCTCGCTTGACGGTGTCAAAGTCCCAATCGTCTTCCTCGGCTCTGGGGGAGAGATCGACCCTGATGAACTTGTTAGCACACTGTATGAAAAGTTCCTGCGAGTTACTGACATGGTCTCTTCATAGTACTTGGGGTGCGACGCCGCTTGTTGTTCCCTTTGGGCGTCGTACATTTGCTTGCGTTCGACGAGCTCGCGCAATGCCTCGACCTTGCCCGCGCGTTGGACGAAGCGGTGTTTGAGGAGTTCCTTCGCAGTCGCACGTCGATCCGGATCCTTGATCAGACATTGTGCAATAAAGTCTTTAAAGTCTTTGCTCCATTCGTCGCCCTCCAGCCTTGGTGCTGGGTTCTTCGGAATCGTAAAGAGCACCTTCATGGGATGTGACCCAGCGTGTGGCGGTGCGCCCTCTGCCAACTCCATAGCGGTGATTCCGAGGGACCAGATGTCGGCTCTGAAATCATAGCCAGCCTCCTGGATGACCTCGGGTGCCATCCAGAAGGGTGTACCGACAAACGTCATGCGTTGCGATTTGATATTTGTGAGTTGTGCGGCGACACCGAAGTCGGCGAGTTTGACCTTGCCTTGGTCGGTGAGGAGTACGTTGGCGGCCTTGATGTCGCGATGGATCTTGCCGGTCGAGTGTAGGTAGTCTAGCCCGAGCAGGAGCTCTCGGCATGTGATGGCGATGTGTGCTTCGCTGAAAGTGCCTGGTGCCAACTATGACGGTTAGTCTAGCTATGTGATGTCGGTGGTGTGACTGCGTACCAAGTCGGCGGCCGAGCCTCCCCCCAGATACTCCATGACTATCCATAACTTGACGCCCTTGACGAAGCTGGTCTTGTACTCGGTAATGTATGGACTGTGGCAGGTGCTCAGCAGCGAGATCTCGGCTTGGATGTCGGCGAGCTCTTCGCTGCTGTCTTCGAGGTCGATGTGCTTGATGGCGACTGTCTCGCCCGTTGTGCGGTCAATGGCTTTGAACACCTTTCCGAAGCTGCCGCCTGCAATGGTCAGTAATGGCGAATCGACCAGGCTATGTCAAAACGTACTGCCCAGCTCCTCCATGACTTGATAGTTTTCGGCCATGGCGGGCGATTACAACGTCGCTAGGCGAGGCGCAATGGCTGAGAGATATGGGATGTGGTCGGGGTCGGGCCAGGATAGATGCAGTGGTGTTTCGGCGGAAGACGGTTGGGATAGGAATAAGACTCGGCTGTGGTACTGGGCTGCTCAATTGCGCCGCCGTTGTGGTGTATATCAGAGTATCGCGCAGGGTCCAGCCCTATCATCGCCGAGGCAACCAGCCTGATCGTCAAACAAACGCACATCCCCGCCGCCACTTTTTGGCGGAGATTGGCATGACGTCGGTAGGTATCAGTGCTGTAGAAAAACAACACAGGTCGGGCATGTCCAGGACAGCGCACCAGACGTCGGAGCAGTGTTGCGGAGCCTTTGGCATCCAAGATCAGTTTGTCGACGCCATGTCCAGAGCAGCCTATTCCACTCCTCTCCAATGTTGCCCTGCATGAGCTCCCCACTGCGGCTGTCATGCAGCAGCGGCTACCAAAACCGTCAGCCGTCTTGCCAATAGACGTGTGTGGTGGTGCATCGCCTGCGCCTCATCCCGCCGAGGTTTACTTTTCCGGTTGCTGAGGGAAACGTGAGCTAACGACATGATGCTGCGAGGCACTCCAGGCATGTCAAACCTACCATGCCACTCACCGCCAGCTAGGCTGGATTGCGAACAGTCCTCGTAGCCTGAAACAGGCCGCCTGTACAGCGCACTCCTGGCTGTTGCTGCAAATTAGGACGAGGGCGACGATGGGCCTCCATGGCTGTCTAACCGCCAGGGCACGCGCACCATGTTATCCGTCGCAGTTCTCCTCAGCAACCGCAAAATTAGAGTCTAGGACAAGATGACCACTACCCGTCGTTGACCGGACACTCGACGTGCTACCCAGCTAGCTCAAACTTGACGGCTACATGGGTCGTGTTCTGAGGTGTCAAATTACGTGGCCCGACCCCTCATCTCCGCAGCATGGCAGTGTCGTCTCGAGAATGTGGGACCGAGCATGTGTTCGACAGCAGACTGCGCGTGTGGTGACCTGTACGTCTGAGTATGCCATGGAGCAATGAGCGAGCGGCAGTAGATAGAAGAGAGAGCAGACGTCGCCCTCAACAGACAGACATTGGTTCACCGTCTCCACACAGGGCCTCCGTCACGAGACTAGCCGCGCAAGCAGTCCCTTGGACATGCAGCCAGGAGATGGGTTCCTGGATTGGGTTGTTGATGGCCTGAGCACGGCGCGCGTGAGCGACGGCTGCACAAAGACTGCGGCTTCGGCTGTAGGAATCTCTAGATACTCGTTGCCGCTCTGAACTCCGTGGCATGCGCTCTTCAATGTCTTTGGTATGAGTTCTTGCGCCGCTGGCTCAACGCTCTTCAAGTCTTGGTTCTCGTGGTTTAGAGGGTCGCTCCTTCTCCGATTGGTCGGCCTCCCTACAGCGCTTCTAGCCCTTTATCTCGAAGTCTACGGCAGCTCCCCAGCCGCCGCCTCGCTTATTCTTCACCGACTCGCTCGCCGCGCTCGTCTCTCAACCATTCTCTGTACGCTCAAGGAGGGACAGTACGTCAGCAATACCATCTTCTTCGTCGGAGGAGCAGACTCCATGGACAGAGCACAGACACCGACAACCCTGCACGACAAAGGGGCCGAGTCGTCATCCCAGTCGTCAATAATATCCTCCAACGCCCCCGACTCCAACGCTTCTTCTCAGTCTTCACCACCCAAGACCATGCCGTCGCATTCTCGGTCCAAGACGGTCGACGTCATCGGGCAAGGCAAACGCCTGTCCCTGCAGTTCCCCATCCAGCCAAGTACGGGCATCAGTTCACCAACCTCCTCGACACGGTCGCGCCCGCAATCATGGATGAACGGGGCAACGTCTGTTCATTCGCCCGAACCCGAGGATTCTACCTCCGAGACAAACATTCTGGCGGTTCTCGCTGCTCAGGAGCGCTATGTCCTCGAACTCAAGGAGGAGCTCACCAAAGCAGAGGCTGATCTGAACACGCTCAAGACGCATTGGACCCATCACGAAGCGAATAAGCGTCGCAATGAGGTGCGCAAGGTCGCCGCGCTGCAGCCTCTGAACACATCGCTCGCCAATGCTCCACCGGGCCAATACGAAGACGATGGTTCGAATTCGTGGATGCAGAAAGAGATGGAGCGCAGGAAGAACCTGCTCAGCAGCACCAAAACATCCCAACGGAAGGTCTTCAGCGGCTCGCGACATCTAAGAACCCTATCACTACTCTCTCCCGACCGCCTCCAGTCGCCATCATTCCCCCAGCCACTCGATCTACACGACGACCCCGCTTCCAACTCCCGACCGCAGCTTCCTGCACGGGCTTCCACCTCGTCAGAGATCACACGACAGGTCGTCAATGCCGGCGAGCACGACCGATACGACATGGGCGGCATGCCCACCATACAACGTGAGCAGCTCATTCGGGCTGGCACTCAGATGGCGCAGGATTTCAAGAAGGGGCTATTCACATTCATGGAGGATATCCGACAAGCTACGGTGGGCGATGAGGCCGTCAACACGGCGGACGGCAATACTGGAATACCAGGTGTCAAGAACCCCTCTAAATCTGGCCGCAAACCGTCCGAGGGTCGCCCCGCCCTTAGTCGGTCCGCCAGCTCGAAGAAGACCACACAACAACTAGGTTCCACTGGCGACGACTTCTGGAAGGAGATGGGCCTGGGCGAGCCCAAGACTACTGTAGTCAACAAGAAGACGCACGCACTCAAGAACACGACGACCCCGCAAAAGCAGATCCGCAAAGTTGCATCCGAAGAAGACTGGGATAACTGGGACACGCCCAACGAGTCACTTCTGGTCGATTTGGAAGACTCCAAGGACAGCTCAGATGAATCGGATGCGCAGACCTCGCCGGTATCCGGCCCAGGCAGCTCTCGAACTAGCACCAGCACTAGATACCACTCGAAGCGTCACGATTCCAAGGCATCGTCGCTCACCTCCATCAACCAAGAGGACCTGACACCACGAGAGTCAAAGCGCAGCTCCATCCCATGGCCTGATATGACCAAGGTGTCACCCAGCAACCTGAAGCGTACCGCATCACATCTAATGAAAGAGTGGGAGAAGCAACTCACCCCGCCCCCGGAATCGAGGAGTGAAGATTACTCGCATGGCGATTTTATGAACTGAACGTTTGAAACGGTAGTTGCATTTAGCGATTTAGCATTATGACGCGACGCCATTAACAGCAATGTCTAATTCAGTGTTGAAGAACTTGTTGAAGAGGTGGTTTGCTGTGTGGAAAAGTTCAAGGTATAGCATGGCGTTGGCGTAATTGTACATATTGGAACCTAGCTTCGGGTAGACATGTACCGTCGTAGAAGCATAATGAGAATCCGAATACCTCAAACCGACGCGAACAAAACGCTTGCTTGCAACATGTGTGAACACATCCGTGACGCTGGAGTGGCGGTGCCAAGACCCACCTGCCCGGCATTTCCCGTCCTCCGCTCTGAACTCCGCAAAAGTTCCCAGCGGCGGCGCATCGCATCGCCTTTGCAACAGTATCACTTGTACCTCACGCTTGCTTCGTGCCGCAGTCGTAATCAGCTTCAAGAAGATGGCTTTTCCAGGAGGCGTGGGCTCCATGCCAGCCGCCATGAATCCCAATGCAGGCATGTCCGAGCAGGAGCAGCAAATGGTGAAAGCAGTATGTGCGACCCCGTCTCCTCTATACAGTTGCGGTGGAACATAATAGCATGTCGCGAGGGCGTAGCTGGCTATACACGGCTGTCAAATAACATGTTTGGGGAACCATGGCTAACATGCGAATAGATGCAAATGGGTATGGAGTCTTGCATCGGCAAGACAGTAATGGCAGGCGTAATGGGTGGCGGTCTGGGTGCTATGTTTGGGCTTTTCATGGCTTCCGTATGTGGCCAAACAACTCATAGTTTCGAAAGAAAGAGAAGGCACGACTGACATGCACAGATGCGATACGATACCCCGATGTCACAGCCTCTCCCCGTCAACACGCCGGCTACAAAACCTACCACCGCAGCCACCGGCGCAACGGCAACGGCAGGCGTCAAGCCTTCGACGATAGCTACCGGTAGCGTCAACTCCGCATCCGCAGCCACTCTCACCCCAGCACCCTCGGCCTCTGCGACTGCTACCCTTCCAAACCCCACCGCTACCGGTACCGTACCGCTTACCGACCTTCCCCTACGCCAGCAACTACGGGCCGGCCTGCGCGACATGTACCGATCCTCAATTTCTAGCGGACGCAACTTCGCCAAAGTTGGTGCTATTTTCTCAGGCACCGAGTGCGCAATCGAGGGGCTCCGAGCCAAGAACGATCTGTACAACGGAGTGGCGGGGGGCTGCTTGACTGGGGGTATATTGGCAAGAAATGCTGGGCCGCAAGCCGTGGCCGTGGGATGCGCAGGCTTCGCAGTTTTCAGTGCGGCTATCGATGCGTATATGCGTATGCCAGAGGACGAGAGAAGCAAACCTATCGCGTAGAGTCTGTAAGGCGACCATCACGACGATGAGTCGAACCCGGGATGGAATTCATGTCATTGATGTATGTGTACGATATACCACAAGCGATGTTGGGGTAGACTCGCGACTTAGCATTGGGCGGCGTTTGGAGGATTCACTCTATCGAGACTCGACTTTACCAACGAGACTAGAAACAATATCAAGGGCTATGGAATACAATCTTGGCCGTCTCTTAGTGTTACAAAAAAAGTTCGACTCAATATATGTTGAACCAGCGTCGACTCATCTACTTCCAGCACGAGGCTCCCATTACTGCCACCAGCGCGATCCGGCCAATCAAAATTCGTGAGGGTCTCACACCAAAAAAGTCGGGCCCCACCGCCACCATCGCGAAATCTTCTACCACACCAGCGGCACGCCCTAGTCATATTGACGATCCAAACCTCGTAAACTTCCGAACTTAATATCAGGATCTCAACTTTCCACGTACAACAAACTGAAACTTCCTGTTTACCGGACTGCGACTACTGCCGGTCTACCGCGCAATGGCAACACCCACTGCGGCCCAGCAAAAGCCCATTCACTCGCTTATTTTGGATACGGGCCCATTGATCAAGAACACAGTATCGATCTCTACTATCATCAACGCCGCGGAAGAACTATGGACTACTCCTGCTATTCTCTCCGAAATCCGCGATGAAGCCACACGGTCACGTGTACAGACAACATTGATCCCATTTCTGAAGATACGGAATCCTCAGCCGGCAAGCTACGATGCAGTCATTGCGTTTAGCAAGAAGACAGGTGATCATGCGGTACTCAGTAGGCAGGATTTGGGTATCCTAGCCCTGGCTTACGAAGTGCACTGTGAGAGGAACGGTGGCGACTGGGGCCTGAGAGAAATACCCAAAGGAGAAATAAAGAGGAGGCCTGGAGAGATTGAGCAGTCGAACGAGGAGAAATCGCAGAGTGGGGGCCTTTCTACCTCAGCAAAGAAGCGCAAGAACAGGCGGAAGGCAGCCAACAAGACTACCGAAGATACCGCTGAAGATGCGACGGAAGGCATACAGATCGATTCCGGATCTGTCGAACCAGAGGATATTGATGAAGGCTGGGAGCAGCCTACAGGCAAGCGGGCGGCGAAGGCCAGAGCGCCCAAATCTACTAAGTTCAACTTCAAGCCCGCAGCGGAGTTAGACAGCAGCCTGGAACAAGCCAATGAATCGGAGGAGCAGACCGTCCAAGCCGAGGTAGACGAAGAAGAAGGTGGAATAGCTGTCACTCAGGAGCAAGTCGAGGAGCAAATACATGAGCAGGTTGTTGCACAGGTTCAGGATCAGGTTCACGAGCAGGTGCAAGACCAAATTCACGAGCAACTTGAGAAACAGAGCAGAGGAGAGCTCGATTCTCAAGCTGTAGAGCAGGCGGAGGAAAAGATCGAAGAGCAGGTCCAAGAGCAAGCTCAAGAACAGCTTCAAGAACAGGCTGGTGAGGAGGGGCCAATCGACCAATCGGCGGCGGTCGAGGTGCCCACCACCAACATCCACATCGAGCAGAAGACAGAGCTCTCACTCGCGCCTGAGACCTCCAGCCAGCAGGATCTACAAACCCAGCAAGTCAGCTCTGACGAATCAAAACTGGCGCAGGAAATGGAGGACCTCTCGGTATCCCGTCACGCCACTCAACAACCTACGCCCCCTACGACTGACGATTCAGCTGCGGAGTCTGACTCTGATGGCGACTGGATTACCCCACAGAACCTTACAGAGCACCAAGCCAAGGACGGAGCCATCCAACCGCAAATTCACACAACAGCCAATCGCCAGCTGGACGTAGCAACCATGACGATCGATTTTGCGATGCAAAACGTATTGCTCCAGATGAATCTCCAACTTCTCTCCACAAACATGCAACGCATCAAGAACGTCAACGCCAAGGTTCTCCGGTGCCACGCCTGTTTCAACATCGTCAAGCAAATGGACAAGCAATTCTGCCCCCGCTGTGGTCAAGCAACCCTACAAAGGGTTTCCTGCTCTACAAACGCCGCTGGAGAGTTCAAGATCCACTTAGCCAAGAACTACCAGTACAACAAGCGTGGCGATAAATACAGCATCCCCAAGCCCATCGCCGGTACTGCAAACACCAAGTGGAGTCATGGTCAGGGAGGAGGCAAAGGCGGCTGGGGTCGAGACCTCATCCTTGCTGAAGACCAGAAGGAATACACTAAGCGCGCTGAAGAGGACAAGAGGACCAGGACGAGGGACCTCATGGATGACAATTATCTGCCGGGCATTCTGACAGGCGATCGGGGCAGAGCTGGTGGCAGAGTCAAGGTAGGCGCAGGCAAGAACGTCAATGCGAAGAAGAGGACGTAGGATGCTGTTGTGGCTGCCACTGAGCCAAAGCAGTTGGGGGCATGCAGACTTTTGGTCAGGCGGACTCGGATGATCTGATGTGGTGGTGAAAGCCATCGGGTCACCCGGCTTACTGGGTTTTGGGCGTAAAGGTTCATGGCGAATGGTGTTGAGCCATGCCTGGTTGATCATCGGAAGATATGTCTCAGATAGACGCATGATATCCTAAAAGTTTCTATTTGTCCTCTCTAGATATTCGAGTAGATGGCCCCCTGCCGCCTCGCTCCACCTGTCCCATTCGACTGCACACAATCCAATGTCTGACGACCGTACGGTAACATGATCCTCCAACCCTTCCAATACCCCTTCATGCACTACACGTTTGTATTCTGATAGCGCGTGATGGGTATTGTAGTGCACACCGCTTGTATATCGCCGTGCTGTGATTATGTGCCATAACTGCATTGTCCAGTAGTCTTACTTCCCAAAGCGCCACTACGCCTGTGACTGGGTGGCATAGTAGACCCGGGAAGCCGATTGTGGCTCGGCAGGCTCGGTTATCTTATCGGACATGCGGCCTCTATGTAAGGGTCAACGAGCTGCATCCAAACGAGCTGTATGCCGATAACACTTCAAGATACTCGGCACATTTTGCTGCATTGCTACGGAAGCAGTAGTGCGTGCGCAGGTCCTTAGATCGGCAGTATGACTTGGCGTATCTCTTATTCCGTGCTTCGAGTTGCAGGGTAGTTCTTTAGATTCTACGTAATTTACCTGTACTCAGCATTCGGCCCCTGCGCTGCGGATGTGAAGCCATGGGTCCGTGTCTTGGAAGGCCTAAAGATATGACTCAGCAGGCACTCATCGGGGCGACGCCACTATAGTCTGACAGGACATGGTGCATACCGCGATGCTATACGATGCCATCAATCGTATCCTGAGAGCTGCCTGAGAGTGGCTCAGTCGCAGGAAAGTGGCGCAAAACCTATCAGCTCGTGATGTAATTGACAAGCCAATGCGCAATGATTTTGAGCGAAAGGACTGGCAGTCAGCAAGTGTATTTCAGTGGTGGCTGAGATGTAGTTCCAGACTTAACCTCAAGCTGATGACCCTGCGCGGGTTTAGACGATCGGTGGCCGTCTCATCTGCCCCAGTGGTATATCGTGATTCGGAGCTGGACGCTCTCGTGTCTCACAGCTGCGGAAACGTGGCGTACAGTGACAGCCGAGTCCGTGTAACAACGCATTACCCTTACATAGCTCCTTACATAGCACACATGTGGACTGTGCTCAAACGCCTCGCTTACGTCAATTCAATCCAGCCTGAGATGTTGCGATTGGTTCTGGGGGCTCTTCGGGGGTGGATCACGTTTACCGGAGGTGCAGTGAAAGAGCGCTTTATGTGAATGGTACGGCGCCTCGAGACCCCAGGCGACGGGGAAGTGACTACCGAGGGGCCAGCATGTGAACGGCGTGGTATGAGAGTATACAAAGACCTCTGTTCCGTTACTATATTACTGAGGCCGCGATTGTCTTGTACAATATACTTGGTTTTTGCCTTTTATTGAGTCATTATGGCGATTCTTAGTATTCTTAGCTCTTGGACGTCGCTTCCTAGATCGTACTTTAGACGCGTAAGTCTTGTTCAATCGTTTGTTGTTTCCTTCTTCAGCATCATCACACTTACCCACTCCAGCGATCGAGATCGAGATCTTCTTACATGCCCGAGTTCACCGACAGCTCTAAACAGCTCGGCTCCTCTGCGGCTAAGGAAGCTCCGACCAAGCCCGGAGACCATCGCACCAGGATTATTGCTCGTCTTCGCGATCAAGAAATCCATGTTCCGGATGTGCATTACATATACACGGATTGGGCAGCTAAAGTGCACCCGGATGTTCTGGTGCTGAGACAGCATCTAGAGGGATACTTCCAAACGTTCATCAGTACCGAGAGCCAAAGGAAGAAGCAACGTAGGGTAGACAACGGACTCTGCGCGGGATACTTTTGGACACATGTGGAACCGGAGAAGTTTGTTATTCTAGGAGAGCTTGTGGCCTGGGTAACTTGGCCCAATTCCTTATCGCGATTGTCGACTAACGTACACTGTAGTTCTTTTTCTGGGATGACGAGATCGATTGCGGTACTCTGACAGATGATCGTGACAAGACTGAAGCTTATTGTGACGACACAATTAATTTCATCCGACATTGCTTGCAGCCAGAACTCTCTGGCGAAGTTCCGGCACCGGGGCGGTTGCATAACTGCGGTCCATGGGTCAACATAGGAAGAGCAATGCAGAAGGGCCAGTCGAGAGGTACGTCCATCCACAGTATGCTAGACAGATATTAGCTAACAAGCATTGTAGAAGCACGTGACCGGTTCGCTGAAACCATCTACGACTTTATCCGCGGCGTCAAGACATCTCAGGCTACATGGGCGCAAGGGATGTCTACTCTCGAGGAATATACAGCGCGCCGTTTGAGAACGGTTGGTACAAACCCGTGCATTGCTGTCATGCAATGGGCCTACAACCTCACTCTTCCACCGTCGATCTGGAACCACGAAGCTGTAGTAGCCATAACGCGCGAAGTAGCCATCTCCGACTTCCTCTGGAACGACATTGTGAGCTTGCGGAAGGAGATAGACGACGGCGATATCGATTCTGCCATCCCGGTGATGGTATGGAACGAGGGATGTAGTGCGCAGGTTGCCGTCGATCGATGTGTGAAGATGGTGGAGGAGAGCTGGGCGAGGCTGTTGGAGGCAGAGACCCGACTTGTGAAGGCGCATGCTCAAGAGTCTGAGCAAACCAGGCGCGATATCGAGACGTTGGTTGGCGGGTGTAAGGACGTATTGGTTGGACATATGGTTTACTCGTGAGACTTCTAGGCAAACTGCATCGTGGACCACGCTGACTTTAAGCCAGGCTCAAGATTCCGCGCAACATGTCCGCAGCAAAGATGAACGAGAAGGATTGCAGTTTCTGCATTATCCTATAGATCCGAAGGCTTGAGAGGCGTCGTCTGCTGTGAATAGAGAGAATGATAGACCCGGGGGGCAAATAGCAGTTTCCGCCTATCGTATACACGCCCTTGTTTGGTTTGAAGATGAATGGCTCGCGACTTGGTATCAAGGCTAGAACGGACTCTCCTCAGTACACATCCGGAGCAATACAACATTTTCTCTGGACGTGATGATTGCCGTCATTGTGAGCTCTCCTGTGTAGGGTCAGCTTTGCAAAAGCAACGCGAAACTCCCCTTTTACCAGAGCTAGGACCACGTTCATCGGACGAAGAGGCTGGGTGGCGTACTCGCCGCCATTCTCAACCGCGATAGCGAGTTGCTAGGACATTGCCCTGAACTGCCAATGTCCGGAGCACAGTCTGCCGTCGTGCGGGCCACTTTCAGGCAGACAATTGACGTGGTGCGGGTGGGTCATGATTGGTCGGGCGGCGATGTGTCCGAATCGCCAGGAGGAAAGACCGCGTCTTTGCCTTAGCTTCCGCAGCCGGTACCAGACTTCATCCCAGCGTCAGACCTCATGTCCAGCCCTGAATCCAGCCTCCTACACCTATTGCTCATCCACCGTCATACTTGACGCTCCTGTCCATGGCTGTTCCTGCAGCCAGGCGCCGTGCCTTCCCCGACCGACGCGCTACTTGCATTCCTACGCGTCCTAGCGGCTGGGTCCATACCGATGCCTGCAGGGCCTCTCCATTCGTACACGCTTCTCTCCCACACTGCCGTACCGACGCGCCTACTCGAGCTCTTGAGCCTTTGACGGCATGGGCAAGCATCTCAATACTGGTGGAGACTTGCTAAAACTCAGGCGACATGAAAGAAGCCTGATCCGAATGTGACGGGAGCCAGCATACGGCGTAGAAGCATCTAGGTCATGTATACCTCGGACCAAAGCCCGGGTACCGCCAGGTCCCGACGGTTGCTTTCCACCATCGCATGCCGCAGAACCGGATAAGGTGTCCAAACCCTCACCTCATGGTCGGGCCCATTATGGAGACCAATCTCGGCTCGGCTGAGCTATCATTCGACTTCCTCGAGTCCATCTCGTACCGCCGGTGATCTCTTGGCAGGTTGCTCCATAGGTTCGCGATCGCGGCGCCAATGGCCCGTCTCGTCAGTTTGGCCCGCCATGGACCCAGATCTTACTCCCGCAAAAGGCCTCTAGGAGCGGCGTTCTGGTCCTGGCCAATGGATGCCTGCTTTCTGGGCTCTCGACGACCAATTCATCGCGGCTGGAGCCACTCGGGATACTGCTACCGACCAAGTCAGTCGTTGTCTGGTCATTAGTGCGTCTCAAATCAGACATCTTACCTGTGCCGCATGTGTCATAGACTACCACCAAACAGCTCCTGTTCATGTGCTCTATGCCAATATCGAGACAAGCCCACGCTGAGGTGAGCGGATATCCTTTGTTGAGGCCTGTATAGTGTCAGGATTCCGATCGAATGGCCTCTCCACCAGGACATCAAAGCCGCGCACGCTGTGATACGCCCCTCTTTCGGCCATGCCGCCTTGACTGTTACTTTGCGGTATCCGCTCAGAAGCCCGAGGCTTTGGTGCGGGGTCACATTGTCAGTTTGCCTTATCTGACCGGCTTCCGGATTTGACAGCAGCCGCCGGGCGCGGCAGTGGGGTTCGATTCGATAGAGAGCGCTCCGTTCCGTGCGGTTCACACAAGCAGTAAGTCTGTTGATTGGGAGTTGAGCCGTCAAGGTGTGCATGACTTCCATCGTGGCAAGTTCATCCCGTGTGCCTGGGCCGCTATGTCAACCGGTGAGTGCTTGTTCGTAATTCCCGCCAATTTGCGTTGCTGTCGGGCGAACACACGAGACGACAAGGGTCGTCGTCCGGTGAAGAAGTTCCACGATCATGCAGGTTGCAGGAACCATCTGCTTCGATCAGCAGGTTGTTGCCGCCAACTAGGTAAGGGGTACTTATCCATTGCACATTAGCGGCAATTTCTTTAAAAAGCTCACCAATGAAGAGCATAAGGCATAGTTGAAAGTGAGGAAAGAAGGCGAACAGGCAGAAAAAGGTCCTCCGGTCGTCTTGGGGCCGCACGCCTAGTCTGTCAGCCGGTTCCTTTCTACTTAAGACACACTCGCCCTTCATACATCGGGAGCCGCTCCTTTCCACTTGCTCGAGACGTATTTTGTAACAACTTCTAGATGTCGCTTCAAATAGCCGCCGAACGGGCACAAAGAGTCGGAGACGCTTGCCGGTCGATCAATACAATACGCGCCCACCGAGGAACGTTGGTCCACAATGTCCGTACGCCGGCTTTATAACCCCTCTTTCTCGCAGAGCCGCACCTCTCGGATCTTTGTTCAAGATACATGCACATCTTATCGCGGCAATGGTTTGACCACACGGGAAAAAAGCATGCATAGTTGACGACGCAACATTATTCAGCCCTACTCATACTTGATCTGCGAAGCGATGTTCCACTCACTCACAAACAAGACACAACAATTCTGGTGGCAATCACAGTGCATGTGGCTGCAACATCTTCGCGAATACGACACATTCTTCACGTTGCAGCCATAGGATCAACATAAAACAGGCTTTGGCCACGTCTCTCGGCTAGACTGTTCGACAGATGGCTCTTCCACTGTTTCGCAACAAGTGCCGTGCAACGGACGGCACACGCAAGGCGCTTCGCTAGGAGGGATCCACCCTTGATCTCTCTTGGGTTGGCGCTGTGCCACTCCGTCTTGTTGGCTCGCCGGTTCAGACCGGCTGTTATGCTGCAGGCGATGGGACACGTTGGGCGCGATCCACGGCCGGTTGACACCGATGCTTTTTGCTGAGATGCAGCCGAAGGCCAACAGCTACCGAAACACTACTGCTATCATGATGCTGTCATGGCAAGATTCCATTCTCACAGAACACAGTCTTCGAAGGACAGGAAACACGACACAAGACATGCAGATGTTACTTGCCCATACCGTCCTCCCGGCAAACCCGAGGCAGCTCTACAACGACATAGATCAGCGACCAGGGAGTGAGAATGTCCACAGCGGGGTAGGGGAAACTGGGCTGATTACCTGTAGCCCACATATACGTTTGCTGCAGCCGATGCAGGATTTTGCGCCATGCCCCTTTCAGGACATCTCTAGCTTATCAGAGGGCTGCTCCGAAATCTTGGCCGTCAATCAGAAATCCCGTCCCGCACTGCTGCCATGTAGGAGCTTGTCGCCTGACCTCTTGACTGGGATGGTTTCTGTTGCAACTCGTTAAACGCAGAGCCGCATGGCGATGAGAAGGATAAAGACGGGTCGAGTGAGAGGGCAGTGATGGTCTGGAGCCGGGTGAGAGCACCACATCACAGTCACGAGAACTACGCCGCTCATCGGGATTTACTGCACGAGTAGCAAGCAATGTCGAACACTTATTCCAACCCAGTGGTCAGTCGCGTCAGGTCCATGGATGTGTACCCTACTAAAGTGATTCTTCCAGCCTTCATACCTTTTTCAGATCGACGAGATTTACGAGTACCTAGGGAATACTCCTGCCCAGTATGATGCTCATGGTATCTGGCAGCCTACGACAGGCCCTTATGCGAGTCACGACTTCACGCCCGGTGTAGGTGCTTCCGGCAAGACTTGGCTCTGCGATGGGGTGCAGATACGCGAAGTTCCCCAGCTTCCTCATCATGCTCAACGGTACAAAACCTTTTCGGTGTATTACGAATGCGGTGCTGGATTTTGGGTGCTGGAAGGAGATGCGCGAAATCCGCCCGTTCACGACGTTTTCCACAGACTGCAGTTCAACTATCACCAGCACCCTCCCGAATCGTCCTATCTGACCAATGCTGGCCAGTACAACATGCTTCGTGTACAACTGCAAAACGGGGCGGCAGACCTGCTCTTACCTGACATATACCATACCAACGCTACTGCGTCACACGTTCAATATGGCGGAGTCGTGGGTGAGCTGCCGATATTTCTGGCTCTGATGGCCTTCACGACCTCTCGAGAGTATCTTCCGTCGGTCTTGCCCCATATGTTCACAGCAGGGCGCTGGAACCCATGGCACGGATATCGATTCACCAGTGAGTTCTCGCTCCAGGAACACACAACCAGACTAACTCCTCTAGGGATTCCCCAGCGCGGTGTTGTTGTCAAAGTTTACAATTGCCCTGTTGACTACCCACCAGAGAGACCACGAGGCTCGACAACTACAGATCTTTACAACTATGAGATAGGTCGTACGGTCAAATACTTCGACTAGAGAGTTTCCCATAATTAGTAGGCCGCAGACGTCGCCTAAGCTCGGATCACCAACAGCAAGCTTTCTGTCAGCCTTACAGCCCTACCGACACTTGAGCGATTTTCATTCGCATCGCCCCGCTTGGGTTACGCATGACATGCGCTATTCCGTTTTCAGTACCTATACACTGTTCTACCCCCAATGGCCAGTTCAACTCTTATTACCGGTTTTTGTTGGGTATCCGCATTCTCCTGGCCCTACATTCTTTCGTGTTTCTTTCCCAGACTGTCAACCACCATTACGTTTCCCACGATTCAGATTGTCATATACGTCCATGAAATACAACATTATCTATCTACGACCACAATTTCTAGCCTGAAACTATGCACATCCTGTCCCACCCCGTCTCGCTCACAGGCCATGAAGCGATTTAAATCTCAAGTATGATGCAAGCACAAAATATTGCAATCGAGAGCCCAAAAACTTGCACTGGGTTGATAAGGAAATATAGCCAGGTGAGTGAGAAAGCATGACGAGATATGATAGCTCATGAGGTGAGCATTGTGAAGCTTACAGTCGGATTCAAAGGTCAAGATAGTTGGTAATTACGAGATCCGGGGTACTTCTACAGGGGTATCATGAATGGC